CCAGGTTCGATTCTGGTCAAGGGCATGTACCTTGGTTGCGGGCACATCCCCAGTAGGAGGTGTGCAGGAGGCAGCTGATCGATGTTTCTCTCTCATCGATGTTTCTAACTCTCTGTCCCTCTCCCTTCCTCTCCGTAACAGATCAATAAAATATATTTTTTTAAAAAAAGGGGAGAGGGAGATAGGAATGGCAGAGGAGTTCTGCTGATACCTGCTAGATTTTGTTTTAATTTGCATTTTATTTTTTTTAATATGTTTTTGTTGATTTTTTCTTTTTTAATTTTGTGTAATTTCCTGGATTAGTGCAATAGCTTATTTTTTTAGAGCGAATCATCGATTGGCTGCCTCCTGCACACCCCACATTGGGGATTGAGCCAGCAACCCGGGCATGTGCCCTGACCGAGAATTGAATAGGTCAATGATCAATCACTGAGCCACATTGGTCCAGCCTTTTTTTTATTCCTCACCGGAGGATATTTGGATATTTTTTCCATTGAGTGGAAGGAAGGAAGAAAGGAAGGGCGGGGGGTGGGGGAGTGGGGAGAGAGAGAGAGAAATATTGATGACACATCAATTGGTTGCCTCCCGAATGAACCCCAACCAGGACCAGGGATTGAACCACAACCAATGTATGTACCCTTGACTGGGAATCAAACCCGAGACCCTTTGGTCCTTGGGCCAACGCTCAACCAAACTGGCCAGGGCCCACCCCACCTTTTTATGCCATTGACTTTCTGCAGAAACTAGGTCAGTTGTCCTTTAGAATGTTCCTCAGGCTGGATTCTTCTGTTTGCTCCCTGGTTGTACCACTTACCTTATTCTCTATCTTCTATTATTTCATGTAAACGATAATCAGTTTTAAAAGCTTGAATAAATTCAGGTTCCACATTTCTGGCAAGAGCACGTCACAGACAACGTAGTGTACTTTATGTGGCATCGTATCCAGAGCTCCTGTCTTAGTGATGCCTGGACTGATGAGTGGGTCCTAAACCTACTTCTGGGGTTCTTTTTCCCCTGACTTTCTGCCTCTACTGTGTGTCCTCCCAGCCTCAGAGAGTTGTGATCACGTGCTCCCAGGACGCCCCTCGATGCACCACGCCTTTTCGGGTTGGGCTGCCCATCCTCTCCCCGGAGTTCCTGCTGACAGGAGTGCTGAAGCAGGAAGCCAAGCCAGAGGCCTTTGTTCTCTCCACTTTGGAAATGGCATCCCCCTGAAAACCCCTCCCCAGTACCCTTTTTCTTCCCAGATCAATAAACAGAATACATTGGGGAGAAGAACTTAGGGCTTTAGGAAGGATTGGGGTGTACTGATCTGATTTGTCTTGAAACATGGGTGGGGCTGAAAAGGCTTATAGGAAAACAAAGATAGGGAGGTTGGGAGCCACAGATACCTGAAGTGCGCTCATCTTTAGGTGGACTGATGTACCTACTGCTCAGTGCCCTGCCTCCCATTCGGAAGCCATCTCACTTTTCTTTGTTATTGGAATTCTTACTTATCCTCCAAAACATAGTAGAAACAATTTCAATGCCAGAAACTTGAAGGGATGCTTGGAGTAAGTTTGAGGGTGGTTATGGAATGCTACGAAAAGATTTACCTCTCTCCTGGCCCCATCTTGTTAGAAGATCCTTTAGCTTGGACTTTGAGCAAGTCTCTGCACTTTTTCAGGCCTGCTTTTCCAGTATGTATCAAATTAGAGCTTAGGCTTAAACTTTATGATAAATAAATATTCACTCTGTGCCTTATGGTGTAGTGCAGTTTTTGTTTTTGTTTTTTATCCTCACCCAAGGATATGTTTTTCTATTGGTTTGAGAGAGAGAGTGAAAACATCCATGTGAGAAAGAAACATTGATCAGTACGTCCCAACCGAGGGGCGGGGGAGGGGGTTGAACCCACAACCTTTTGGTGTACAGGATGACACTCCAACCAACTCTGCCATCTGGCCAGGGCAGTGTAGTTGTTATTTTTTAATATGACATTCCTTAAATTTAAGTTTAAAAGGTTGATTACAAGGATATGGAGAAATTGGAACCCTTATACATTGCTGGCAGGAAAATAGAATGGTTCAGCCGTTGTGGTAAACAGTTTGATGGTTTCTCAAAAAGTTAAATATATAATTGCCAAATGACCCGGCAATTCCACTTGTAGGTATATATCTGAATTAAAATAGATGTTCACAAATACTTGTACACAAATGTTCATATAAACTCTTTTCATAAGAGCCAAAAGATAAAAACAAATGTTCCAAATTGTGGCATACCCATACAATGGATTATTACTCAGCCACGAAAAGAATTGAAATACTGATTTATACCACAGTGCTTTGAGGATGAACCTTCAAAGCATGTTACGTGAAAGAAGCCAGACACAAAAGTTCACATGGTCTGATTTCACTTATAAAATACCCAGAATAGATAAATCCATGGAGATAAGGAGTAGATTGGTGGTGCTCGGCCAGCATGGCTCAGTGGTTGAGCATTGCCCTATGAACCAGGAGGTCCCGGTTCAATTCCTGGTGAGGGCACATGCCCAGATTGCAGGTTCAATCCCCGGTGTGGGGTGTATAGGAGGCAGCTGATCAATGATTCTCTTCATTGATGTTTCTATCTCTCCCTCTCCCTTCCTCTCTGCAATCAATAAAAATATGTGTGTTTTTTAAAGTAGATTGGTGGTTGCAGGGGCTGGAGGGAAGGGAGATGGAGAGTGATTGCTCGCGGGCACAGGTTTATGTGGTAAGCAGGTAAGCATGCTTTGGAATTAGACAATTGGTGGTTGCACTTTGTGAATGTACTAAATGCCACTGGGTTGTTCTCTTTAAAATGGTTAATTTTAGGTGAATTTCACTTGAATAAAAAAATTTTTGTTGATTAGTTTTGTGCATTTTTCTGCAGGTAAGTTATACCTAAGTTTGGAAAACTTTGGTATAGTAGAAATAGCATAAGCTTTGCTGAACACTGCTGGCTTTTAAGTATACCTAATCTCTTAATGTAATATATTAAGCACGGCTGTATTAGGTGTGGCACATGTAAGATCCAAATAAATGTTAGTCCCATTGCACAACTCAAAGCCTCACTGTGTGAAATTCTGTTCTCAAGGTTCAGGGGATTCCTCTCTATAGCCCCATTTAGCATTCCCACTTCATTAAGTGCCTCCATTTAAAATTGTAGAGAATCTTAAACTTCAGTGAATCCTAAGCTTGTAGCACATTGTGTAATGTGTCTCTATCAGTCAGGGTCCCGGTGGGAAACCATAGCACAGTCAAATAGGGATAATTTGGGGAGCGTTGAACAAAGTGAAAATTACAAAGAACTAGGCAGAGATGAGAGAAATGACAAAGAATAAAGCAGCGCCCCAGTGCCCACAGGTCTGTGATGACCCCTCCAAGCTCAAAGGAAGAAAGGAGGGAGCAGTTCTGGGGAGAGCGTTCCCTCGGTAAACACGGAGGTGCATTGATGTCGTCCATTCAGGGCACTTCCTGAAGCAGAAAGGGCGGAGAGTGAGTCTGGAAGGAAAACAAGATGTCTGGTACGGTACACCTCAGTTCTCCAACTTACTTTGTTTTGGAAGGTTGTTCGAGAAGCAATTTGTTTGAAAACCAAATCATTTTTTCCCATTAGAGATAATGTAAATTGAATTAATCTGTTCCAGACCCCCAAATGATTCCCTGTTATAACCTTTCTTATATACAGTACCTGTCTAACATAGTGTTTAATCTATAAATAAACACTTTAAAAACAAAAAGGACCCTATCCAGTTTGGCTCAATGGATGAAGTGTCGGCCTGTGGACTGAAGGGTCCCGGTTTCGATTCCGGTCAAGGGCACATGCCCTGGTTGTGGGCTCAATCCCCAGTAGGGAGGCGTGCAGGAAGCAGCCAATCAATGATTCTCTCTTTTGATGTTTCACTCTCCCTCCCTCTGAAATCAATAAAAATATATTTTAAAAAATAAAAAGGAAGCCTGGCAGGTATGGCTCAGTGGTTGTGCATCAACCTATGAACCAGGAGGTCACAGTTCAATTCTTGGTCAAGGTACATGACCGGGTTGTGGGCTTGATCCCAAGTGTGGGGCATGCAGGAGGCAGCCGATCAGTGATTCTGTCTCATCATTGATGTTTCTATTTCTCCCTCTCCCTCTGAAATCAATAAAGATATGTTTAAATATATATTAAAAAAGGAAAGGAAATGTAGAGTAAAAAATGAAAATTTAGGTACACACTAGAACTTACCTTGAATGCTGAGAGCTACTGATGACTGAATATGGAGGAGGGTGTTCTTGTTTGGAAGAGGCACAAATCACAGAGATAAATGTTTTTTAAAAGCAGTGATTCTCAAATTGTTCTGCAGAAATATTTCTATCATGCTTTAAAATGTAGTGACTTCTGCTTTCTATTTCACAGCTCTGATGGTTTAAATTGTTTGTTTATTTGGTTTTCTGTTCCTCCTCAAATTTTTTATATGATCATACTTGTCTATAAATGTGTTACCACTGTTTTGGTTTCATATATTCCATTGTATTTCATTGTAGATACCTATCTTGTTTGAAAAATACAAGTTAATTTAAGAATATTTTATGATTGCCTCAGCAATGCACTATCAAATAGGATATAAGGTTTGAAGGTGATGGTCTTGTGTTTTTTTGTGTGTGTATTTTTAGAAGTTTAGAAGAGTGTTCACGTTCTTAGAAGTTTAAGGACCCTCAAAATAATCAAATCTATTCAAGTGACTATCTAGGAGCAAGGAGAAACTTAGTCTAGAATGTTATAAAAGCACTAGTCTTAAAGTTCATAGAGCCTGCCGAAACCGGTTTGGCTCAGTGGATAGAGCGTCAGCCTGCGGACTGAAAGGTCCCAGGTTCGATTCCGGTCAAGGGCATGTACCTTGGTTGTGGGCACATCCCCAGTAGGAGATGTGCAGGAGGCAGCTGATCGATATTTCTCTCTCATCGATGTTTCTAACTCTCTATCTCTCTCCCTTCCTCTCTGTAAAAAATCAATAAAATATATTTAAAAAAATTAATCTATGACAAGGAAAGCAAGACTACACAGTGGGGTAAAGACAGTTTATTCAATAAATGGTGTTGGGGACAGATACATGCAAAAAATGAAACTAGACCATCTTCTTATACCATATACAAAAATAAAATACAAATGAATTAAAGACTTAAATAAGAGACTGAAACCATAAACCTCCTAGAAGAAAACATGAGTAGACTCTCTGACATCGCTCTTACTCGTATAAAAAAAAAATCAAATCTCCCTGGACAAGAGAAATAGAAGAAAAAAATAAATGTGCCATGTCAACTAAAAGTTTTTTGCACAGCAAAGGAAACCATCAACAAAACAAAAAGACAACCTACCAACCAGAAGATGATATTAGTCAATGATAATCCACTTAGGGGTTAATATGCAAAATTTATAAAGAACTCTTTCAATTTAACACCAAAAAAGCAAACAATTCAATTAAAAAATAGGCAGAGAACCTGAATAGACACTTGTCCAAAGAGGAGGTACAGATGGCCAAAAGACATATGAAAAGATGGTTAACGTCACTAATCATCAGGGAAATGTAAATTAAAACCACAATGAGATACCACTTCACACCTGTCAAAATGGTTAGCATCAATAAATCAACAAAGTGCTGGCAAGGATGTGGAGAAAGTGAACCCTCATGCACTGTTGGTGGGAATGCAAATTGCTGCAGTCACTATGGAAAACAGTATGGAGATTCCTCAAAAAAATTAAAAATAAAACTACCTATGACCCAGCAATTTCACTTCTGGGTATTCATCTGAAGAAATTCAAAACACTAACTTGAAAAGATGTATTCACCCCTATGTTCACTGCAGCCCTATTTACAATAGCCAGGCTATGGAAGCAGCCCAAATGCCTATCAATGAACAACTGGATAAAGGTGTGTACATATATACAAAGAAATGTTACATGGCCATAAAAACTGAAATCTTACACTTTGCAGCAACGTGGAAGGATCTAGAGGATATTTTGCTGAGTGAAATAAGCCAGTCAGAGAAAGACAAATGTCATATGATTTCACTTAGATGTGGAATCTAAAAAACAAAATACAGTGCAACTTTGGTTCTCAAACTTAATTTGTTCTGGAAGGCTGTTTGAGAAGTGATTTGTTTGAAAAACTGAATTATCTCCCCCCCCTTATAAATTATGTAAATTAATTCTTTCCAGACCCACCCCCGCAAACGATTCCGTATTGTTTAGTCTATAAACAAACACTTCTTAAATTTATGGAACCACCCCCTACTATCCTTAAATGAATCACTTTCAGCACTCAGGGGTGTTTGTTTTTCAGGAGTTCAGTATATGGCATCTTCAATTGTTCACATATTGTTGCCTCCGAAATGCTGCCTGCCAACTGCATTTGGTTTATCCCAATCAACAACAGTCTTTCTACCTCTTCAATTGCCTGTGACCATTTTTTCACACCTTTAGCAACATTAGCACTCTTGATGGCCTCTTTGTTTTAAAATTGTGCTAATCATCCATTTTGCCAGCAACAAAAGCAAAAAACCCACAAGAATATCCACAGCATGATTTCTTGAGATGTAGACAACTGATTTACATTATCTCCTCTGTTTATGGCCTGAGAGAGCTTTTTGTCATGTTGATGTATCAGCAGGAAAGGGCTGTCAGGTTGAGAACTGAAGATTTTATTCAACAACTGAGACATTATTTCCATGAACAACTTGGTTGAGAATTGAATTGTTTGAGATGAG